GCCCGTCTTTGCTTCAGTGGCGGGACGCTCCACACCACCACCACCAACAGATGCTGGGGAGGTTGCACGCCATACACAATGGAAAGATTGGACTCGCTTGACGAGGTCTTCTCGGACACAGCGTATGCACGACACATCAGGAGGTTCAAACGGATCTTCCTTGCTGCCAGCTACGCAGCCGATGGCAACGTAACCAGAAGGTGCAACAGGCCACCAGATCGAGCGGAGCTGTTTGCGCTGGAAGTCAGAATCACAATCTGAATTTCGAGGTAGACCTTTTCCAGTGACATCTACTCGTTCAAAACTGACTGGAGGGGCCAGCAAATCATCGGTATGAGTGTCACAAACTAAAAGCATTGGGGCATTTGGAGCCCCTGTGCCAGATTTGGCCACGTCTCCAAAACTGTACCATTTTGTCCCTTTATCAAGAGCTGGTGGCATGATTGGACGCCATATTGTCACGGTAAAGTCAGCTGCAGATTTCATCCACGCGTTCTCACAGCTGGTTGAAGTGACCAATCGCTTCCGCCATTTGTGACGATGCTTTAGTAGCGGATCACAAGGCGGAATACTCCACACACGCTCATACGTATCCACGACCACGACTTGTAGACCACAGGATAGCTGCAATGGTCCTTTTGGAAACCTTCTATCTCTCTTTTGAGCTCGAGGGGTGAACGACTCCCAGCAGTGTGGTGCCGTTAGGTCTGTGTGCGTTCGCGATAGAATGTGCAGAATTGTCTCAAACGTCATTTCGTCTAATGTATTAAACGAATTTGGCACGTTGCCGTCGTCGCCAAAACTGATTTCTGAGCTGTAATCGCTATCAACGAGTGATTCCATGAGCCTAGTAACTCCAGTCCAGCCGATCCTAGTGGGCTGCTCAGTAATTTGGTCAATCGATCGCTGAATTGTTGATATGTTCAGGGTTAAGCGTAGGTTATTCGATAGCGTCTCAGACGAAGAGCGAGACATCATTTCATGTACCATTCGCGAGAGAATCTGTTGAATTTTCCCGCTTTTTTGGACTTTGGGCTGCTGCTGTAGTGGATACTCGTGTTCGTAAGAAAAATTTGCGGTTGGCTGATCCGGTGCATTCAAAATTGAAATTAGAGGTCGAAGAACAAGAGGATCTGATAATTCACCCAAGGATACATCATGAGTCGGTGAAGCGTTCTGGGAAAGCCGCACAATTTGAAGAAGAACCTTGCGTGCGTGAATTGCTGCAAGACGCTCACATAGGACTTTCTCTTCAATCTCAACTTCAAGAGAGTTCATCCGCCGAACGTCTTCGTCAAAGCTGCTATTGCATTCACTCCAAAGAGCTAGATCAGACCTTGGTTGTAATTTCTCTGAGCTTGAATGTTCCGTCTTTTTGTTTCGAGCGGAAAACCTGTTTTCTTTAGCTACTAGTCGATATGATTTGGGTGAGTGCTGAGCACTAAACTCTGCCAGTGCATAACTTGGATTCTCGTCACCGATTTCTTTAAGGTCAACACAAGGTTCCACGCTGTGAGCGTCATGATGTCGAGAGGACCGCCAAGGAGTCTCCAACTTTGTATTGCTGTCAGACAAAAGCAAGCGCAATGCATCACTAACATTGTTAGTAGTTTGATGCAGTGCCTCTGCACACGATTCTTCACTTCGTCCGAGCAAAGTCGCTAAGTGACGCACATCTGACGAATAGGCGGGCTACAAGGCAATATCATTAACAGTAGTATGAGATAAGTAAGACCCATCCACTATTTGCAAGGTTTTGCACAAACCGAGTTAATTTTTCGACTTTGTAAAAGTCTCCTTAAGGCCTCCTCCATATTTCCACTTGCAAGTCGAAGTGCTTCTTCACAGTCAGCAGCACTCACGACCAAATTTTCTTTTTGGGTCCGAGCACGAAGGTGTAGAGCAAGGGCTTGCAGTTCTTGACTACTTGAAGTGCCATTCTGCAAAAAAAACAGTGTAGTAAGACTTACCGACGTGAGATGAAGCGCATTTTTCAAACGTACTGAACGTGTAGTCAGGCTGGCGAACCCACTGGGACGTTGCACGCGTGTCTTGACGGTTTCGCTTGATATGCTTCCGCCTGCTCGTTGAGGAGACTCACGATTGACACTATCACGACCTAAAACAACACGAAGCATCGATGCTACGCCCCCTTCCGGAGACAGAAGTGAAGGCACTCCTGTAGACACATTTGTTGCAGAGCTTTCGCGTTGTTGGTATGACGCAGGCGAGAGAATGCCTGATGGTATTATAGAGCTAAAGATTCCTGAGGACAGAGGTCTCACAACAGGAGTCCCAGGGGGCTGAAGAAGAGACGAGCGGGGAGATGAGAAGCCACCAGTTCGAGGAGAATCCACAGCAGGATTTGGCGACAAAATTGCTCGTGGGACGTCTCTTTCCGCCACGGTAGTGATAACACGTAAATTTTGAGTCGCTGCCTCTCGGCTTCGGCCGACCAACAGACTTTCGGAGGAAGCCAAAGTGCCACGAGCGCCGCGGTTTTGCAGCTCTGCTGGACTTCGTGGCTCGAACAAGGGCGTACTCGTCTGTGGATTCTGATACTCCTGACCGGGAATCAAGATATTAAGATCTCCTGAATTTTGCAACGCTGTGACGACTGAAGATGGCGCTTGACGTCCCCCACTGACGGTTCGGACTTGAAACTCGTACGTCATCAAGCCACCCCGCGACATAATTAATGAGATTCGAGATCCTGTTTGGATTCGCGTAGTCGATCCATGAATTCTTACACCATTGACAATCGTCCCATTTTTGCTAAAATCTTGGAGCTCGTATTGTGCTTCACCTCCGTCAGTCTCATGCCGTAAGCGACGCAAATGAAAGTGACGACCACTGACACTCCTATCGTTCACTACGAGATCACATGCGTCTGCAGCACGACCAACCCTAACGATTGGCGCGGTAAGAGGGAATGGTGAAAAGTTAACTGCTGAAGGACCCAAGGCTGTCACTGTAGATTCATTTTCATTCAGCTGGGGTAAAGGAAGTAGTACTCCCCACGTACCAAATGGTAAGTCGTTGGCATTGTGTTCTAGCCGCTGTCTGCTAACATCTAAACCAGGCGAAGTCGGACCGACTTTACGTCGTGGCGATTGAAGAGCATCCGTTCCCCAGCCGAGAGCATTTTCACCTCTTAATTTCTCGACTACCTCCTCGCGCATTGGTGCCTCGTACTGGTCCAAAGCTGCGTCAACAATTTCCTCGGAATTCAAAAATGCTTGCCGCTGCTTGACGCAACTCCATCGCTTCTGTAGCACAGTTGCTGTATCGAGTCCAGAGATGTCAGATTTAGTGAGCCACGACAGACTGTTTTCGGAAGCCAGTAATTCCGCTAAATTAGAGATAAGTTGAGAATCAACGCTCAATAGTGTCGAGTTGATGGACGGTAATTGCTTCAATAGAGAGGCTAAGGCCTTTGCCGATCGCCACCGAATCTGTTGCTTGCACATATTCAGGCGGTTCCACAATACTTCCTGCACCGGACTGTTCTGAGGAAGATCAAGATTGCAGTGCCTGGTAAACTCATTAGGTGCTGATTGCTTCACTAGAAGCGACGATAATGCTACAATGATGCCTTCAACGTCATTCAACATGTCGATAAGCACCGGAATGCGTTCTACGACCTGAAGCTTTGACAGTGAGAACAATTGTGACCGTGTATCGGATGGAACTAGCGGAGACCAAGTTTTATCCGTCTTGGAGATGACAACTGTCTTCATCAGCAACTCAGCCGTACGGGATTCCCTCACCACGCCTGACAAGACGCCTAATTTACCCGACGCTTGATCATCAATCGACACGTATGCACCCTCTCTAAACTCTTCGACATTGCCGCCAACGACACAAATAGCCGCTACAATCGTCGCCAGCCCATCGAGCGCATCCTTGGCCTTTTGCCAAAGCATCAAGGAATGTTTGTCTCGATTCGTAGTTTCCAAAACAGTTTCTATAAGGTTGTTTTTCGACTCGTCCGTTTCTGGTGACAATGTTGTCGACTCTGGCTTACGCGATAATGACGTACCATTACCATCATTCAACGCGTCCGTTAAAGGCGCTATATTGACGTGTTGCACATTCGTGTAGTATGAACATATTGTGTCCAGCAACTCGTCAATCTTGGTGGTTCTGGCAAATTCTCGACATATCGCGGCGTTGATTGCTATTTTCCACGCTGGAAAGCGCGTGAGATACCGAAGCAAAGCCACTATCTCAGCTGCCTTTGCCTCTCTGACGTGCATCTTTTCTAAGACAATGTGCTGAATATGAGCGCACCCTGTGTCCGTGGCCACCGTGGCTCCTTTCAGACAGCGAGCCGACTGGCATAAAAGGGTGCTCGCACACTCTAACCCCAACTCGTGTGAGCATAGTCGTGGGCGTAGCAGCATCGGGAGCCCAACCAACGTCATCAGCATAGTGATTATGTCTTTGAACGAATCAGGGATGAGCCTTTGCGATCGATAGATCTTATTGAGCGACGACACGGAGTGATGCGGAAAAACGAGCATTGCTAGACGTATGCACAACATTGCCGACGCATAGTCGATTGAGCTCATGCCACGAATAATATGAACAGTTACTACCGTATTAACAGCGATTGTCGAGCCAATGTTCGCATTTGCAGAACCACACGCAAGGAGTACACTCAAAACCTGGTTTTTATAAAAATGACCGTGCAGCGCGTCGAGCTTGACCCCTTTAGATAATGGCATTTCCACTTTGGAGCCAAAATACTGAAGCAGACTA